GGCCCAAGTGATGGGGACTCCCAAATCGACCGTCTTTCCAAGTGACACCGGACCACCGAAACTTCAGAGCGCCGCGTCAGAAGTACTGCAGGAGCACGCGAGCAGTAGGAGCTACTGGAAGTACAATATACACATGTATATACCCTGCTCAACTACAGGAACCGCTCCTGAAACGTTCTTGGCCATTCCAGTTGAGGGGAAAACACCTGCCAAAGATCTGTGTGTTGCAGCACCTGGTGCTCTGCAGTTCCCAAGGTGTTTGATGCAATCTAGTCAGTCCCAATTCCGACATCAGCTTTGGGTTGGAACGATTTGGAGTTGGCTTTTCTTCCCGTGGCCCAGGCCCTGGCCCTATCCCAGAACTGATTATACAATCAAATCAAGAAAACGCCCTTCCAGCCACCACCGGGACCTCCCAAGCAGAACACTTCCCTCCGGCCCAGGCTCATGTACATGATGGTCCCGGTATCGTCTGCTCCCCAGTCAGCGGCCAAATCCATGGCGCTCAAAATCACCAGAATGAAGTGGAGCCAATTCCTCGATGACTCCCCCCACCCACTCAACCCTAGGGCTCCAAGTCCCTTCGGGGTGGCTTTGGAGGCTCCAAATACGAGGCACTTGGAGCAAAGTGGCTCCAAGTGTCGCTTTACCCCACTGAGCAGCTAACACCCAAACAACACCGGCGCCACGACACACGCATGTCGCGGAGGTTGCACCAAATTCCTGGGCCAAGCTGGCCCACCCATGGTTTCCATCACTTTCAGCTGGATAAAACTCCTACCTGACCAGCAAACACCATTCACTCCCAGCCTTTCACCTTCTTCCATCCTCGAATGCTCGGATCCCTCGAATGCTCGGTCGATGTTGAGGAACTGGTGGGTTCCCACGGCTGGACGGCCAAAAATCTGGCCCAGCGACCAGCCAGCGCTCTCGTTCACGAAGAAGTACCAGCGGTGAACCATGAGGCACAAGATCAGTTCCACCAAGTAGCATGCCTAGCTGGTTTCAGAGAGCTAGTGCTGGCATGAAGCAGGCGTCCAGCCGATTCAATGGCGGATTCGCGCCCACGGAATGCATGGGACAGCCTGGTAGGCGCACCAGATCTGTAACCCCCCTTGTTGGAGGCCTTGTTGGGGCAACACCTTAATCCTTTCAATCAGTGCTCGCTGCGCATGAACCAAACTCCAACAAATGCCTACGGCACTTCTCTTGACCAAGTCGCTAGGCAAACGTAATCAATGATGACGTAGGACCAAGGCATGGCAGCTCCTCAAGCTGCTCAGTCGACAGGAGGTGAGGGCGCAAGCAGGTAGATTCAAAAACCAGCCACCCTGGCCCTGGCCTTTTAGAGGCGAAAGCTTTCAGATAGTCAGTATATGTCAGTATCATGTGTTCCTTGTCACGGTTACACTCTTTGGGTGATCTGCCCAGTTCATCAAGAGTCGGAATGCTGAAAAGACCAGACCGGTCGAATTGGTCTCTTGAAAGGAATTGACCAACCAATATCTCAAAGAAGCTCAAGCACCGGAAGCTTCTCATGGCAGTTTCGGCAGCAGGCACTCAAGACATACACTCCCCAAAACTAACATGGACCCTGAGAATGGAACCCTGAAAGACCCTCTACGCACCAGTGGTTTTCAGGGTCCATGCTAGTCTTCAGCGAAGCACCAGATCTGGGACGCTGGATCTCTGTAGCACCTCCCTTGATCCAGCTGAGGCGAGTAGGCCGAAAAGGAACTCCCTCGAGAGTCGAGAGAATATAAAGTTTATCGAAAGAAAGATGGTGAAAAAAACAGTTACTTGTTGTGAAAAATTGCAAGCCAAAAAGATCGCACATGGTTCCTCGATCGCTTCTCTCCTTTTGGAGGGGTTTTGGGGGACTCTTCGGCTCGTCCAATTTCTGCCGCACCCCGACGGCCGCAGAGCGCCAGGGCAGTCCTTCCTTACCATGCTCAATCATCCAATCCTGGGATGTCCAGCCCACGACGGTGTGCAAGAAAAAAAACTGTACACCAGCCCCAGACCCTTTGGTTGGAGACATCCCTGTTAAAAGCCACGGCACCACACCCGCCCCAAAGTGCTGCAGAGCTACTGGAGAAGTGTAGAATGTCAATTGTGCAAAGTCTTTGACACCGCTTGCGTGATCAAATGCACTTTGTCATGCAAAACCACAACATCGAAAGGGCTGCTTAAGCACCCCCAAGGCCCCAAGACATGACTTTGGTATCCTCGCACCTTCCATTCCCAGGAGAACCTTAAGTTCGGTTTGAGTCAGGTCAACTGAAGGAGTCACCCGCGCGCCCCGCAGCTGGCCGCGGCTCTGGTGGGGGGATCGCTCCTTACGGCTCCCTTCCGGAAGCTGGAGACGTCGCGACGCCGTACCAGCGAATCAAGTGTGGCCAGTGGCACTGAGCACCTGATCAGCTCGATGTCCCCCCTGTGCCATCCACTCAGGTCCCCATGAGTGTATTCCCATGGGTGGGTTGGCCCTCACACTGGTCAGCTCGGCCCAGTGTCTGTCATCAAGGTGACCACAATGGAATTCACGATGATCACAAACCACGTCCAGCACCTCCAGGTGCTTTTTTCCCACAGGTGGCGTGCTTCATCCGCCGTTCCAGCCCACGCGGCATCCGCGGATGCCGGGTTGGAATGGGCGCGGGACAAGCTGTTGAGGAGTTTTGGTGATTGTTTGCTCAATGGTCCTTTAACTTTAGACTGTTGATGAGTCAGGCCCCTCGAGGCCTGGAGATGTATACTGTAAGCATTGCAAAACATGGTACAAAACCATTACGATCGGTGGGCTTCAATTCATCCATCCCCGGAGAGTCCAGGACAAATGAATCATTTGACTCATTCGGCCTGGTTTGTGGTGGATTATGACTGCCAGGTAGGATACTTCATGAGTCCAGACGGAGGTGAGTGATGGGAGAACATGGACAACATGTAACGTCCCACCATGTCATTTTTCAAAAAAAGGCAACTTCTGTATTCCTCCGGCGCGCCCATTCCTATAAGGAGGCTACTTCCTCAGTTGGATCAATATACAGACGAAAACAGGATGTGCACATCATGTAGGCTGATGAAGACAGGGGAAGCCCCGAAAGCACATGGATGGCAACACCTCAAACGGTCTACATGGAATAACTACTACAGTACCTGGCCCCCCCCGGGCAAGGGGTGTCTAATAGCTACTTAGAGGTCTTCGAGGCGTGTCCATTCACCACCCCGCAAGGGGGGGGTTCATGGACACCCCCCAATCACCTCAAACCAGGGGGGCTATCAATGCACCCAATACACCCCCAATAGTCCTGGTTGAACAGGGGGATGTCGAGGTGGTTGAACCAACGACTTAGGTCCGCGGAACCTGAAGGGCTTCGACTCCGTGAGGCTGTGGAGAAGCCCGGAGCGCGGAGGCTCCACCAAGCTGTTCCACCACGCGGAGGTGCCTTTTGGGGTGAAGGCAGGGTGGCGGTGGCACCCGAGAAAGGACGTGAAGGAAACATGCGGAGCTCTTCATGTGTGGGTTTTTTTTAAAGAATGATCAACCGGTTTGTTCTTGTGTGGTTTCCATTGCGAAGGAGCTAGTTGGAGATCTAGGATCACTAATATACTACAGTCCTGCAGATCGACACAGAGCTTCTTCAGAATCTTTGAAAGCCAATCTGGAGAACACCTGATTTATGGACAATTCTGGCGTCCAGGTGCTGGTTATGTCCTCCATCACCACTGGTGGCCTGAAATCAAAACTCTTGGATTCTGTCTTACCTCACTTTCTCGTCACAAGCCCAGGTTGCGCAAGTAGCACAGGCTCAAGAGCCTTTCAATGTCACAGCATGTGAAGACGGTGCTCCTCAGTCCACCAGCACGCGCAGCGTCAGGTCTGGGGTGTCTTCATGGCTGATGTGACCCTCCTTGATCCTTCCAATCCTGACCCAGTGATGCATACCGACGCTGGTGTTTTTGCTCCCTGGAAGCATCAAGAACGAAGGGCCTCTTTGCCAAGTGTTCTTTCAAAGCAGTGATGTCTTCTCTTTGATCGTGTTTCCATTCCATGTTGACATGCCAGGGGGAAACAAATAAAGCATCTGGTAGACCTCCAGATGAAGTGTGACTGAACCTCGCCCATGACATCCGTGTCATCCAGGTGGCTTCATGGACATCGAATGCCTCAACACATCCAAGTGAGGCAGTCCCGACCAAGGGGTCGCCCGGCTGGCACGACTGGGCGCACTCTCCACCGGCTTGCTCCAAGCCTCAATGAAGGCCCGCCATGATGGAATGGGAGAGAGAGAGGCAGAGAGAGAGAGAGAGAGAGTGAGTGTTCATGTGTGTTCATCTGCACTTTTAAGATAGGCCCGTGCGGGCGAATCGCCCGCCCCTAACAAATATCACCCTAGCTCGGGCCTCCAGCGGAAAGGACGTCGGTTCCAAGCGGCCATGGAGATCTCCAAGCTCTCGAAGGTGTCCATAGTCTCCACACCCTTCGCTGCCTTCGCATCCTCTCTCATCTTGAGCTCCAGCGCCTCGCACTTCGCCATCCAGATCGCCAGGTCCGCCTCATACCTGCGGATCATGGACTCAACATGACTTCGCCACTGAAACCAGCCTTCAAACCTTCCAACCTTTCCGAGCCCCTCCAAAACAACGCTTGGCCCTTGGCAGGCCCTTGGCCCTTGGCAGCAAACCACCTGATGTTGATTCGGTCCACAACCCTGGAGGCCTGGCATTCAGCTGACCCAGCAACTCCGCGAAGCTCATGGCTCCCTCCGCGCTCCGAGTTACCCACAGCGCTGCGGCCCGCAGGCGGCGGCGCGAGCGAGCTAGTGCGTGTCACCGGTCGTGGCGGTGGGTTTTCACCCCGTGGGAGGAGCGCGTTTTGCGTCTCCAGGTGAGCCTTTGGCACGGGTTCTACACCTCGCCCCCCACTGGCACCCTTCCGAGGGACCCTGTTAGACAACCACGACCCACGGTCTCCAAGCGAGGCAGTATTCCGGATCCTCCGACTCGCCCCAGACGAGCAAGTCAAAGATGTTGAGGCCCTGGGTGATCTCCTGCAGAAACACCACCAAAACCGAGAAAAGAAAAGAAAATTCCCCCAATGGCTGGGGCTGGGCATGAATTTGCTTATTAGACAACGGCAACATCGCAAGTTCAGCAACAAGTTGTGCTTCGTTGCCGGGCCATGCTGTCTTGAAACATGTGAGCCATTTCAACCTGTCATGGGAGCAAAAACAACTCGTCAAAGCAAATGTTCGCACATGCGCACGTGCTCAACTCAGGTCTGGAGGCCAACAGGTCAGCAGGACAGCATGAAACGACTACAACATCTCAGCATGACCATGTTTCGTGTTGGCCTGACCCATGTCAGCATGCCAGCGCTCAATACGGCAACATGCCAGAATGCCAGCATATCAACGTGACAACATGTGGAAATGTCAGACAAAAACTTGCGGCAGCACGACATCCTGTTTGCAAGTTAGTGTGGTAAAGGGGCAACATGTTCGAAGGTTGGCATGGCTGCGCACACCATACAAGCATGGTGCCTTGATGGCATGACAGCACATCAACGTGATGACATGTCACCATGATCACATGTCAGCATGATGCAATGTCTGTGTGCCAACATGCCCAGCATGATGACCCATGTCAGCATAACCAGCGCGTCAGCATAACCAGCAAGACGTGCTCCGGGTTCCGGGTTTCCGAACCGGCTCCGGCACCGTCCGAAACCCTTCTCCGGAGACCTGCTGGTGCGGAACCTGCTACCGATCTGCGAAGTCTTGAAGTCTCTTCCTGGCCTTCAAAGACCAGTTTTGGGAACGACCTGGTTGGGCCTGTGTGAAGGCCTTAGGTCCAACCATGATGGTAGAACCATGGTAGAACCATGGTAGAACCACCGGGCTACTAGCTCTTCAATAGATGGATGTCCATCCTGGGAATCTCGCCTTAAGGGCCTTGAGAGGTTGCCCGGTCAAGAACCACCTGCAACCTCCACTGGAATCGGACCCCTACCCCGCAAGCCAGTCGCCTCATCGTCACGGTCGAGCCAGAATGAACAAAGGCGATACTGAACATCTTGCTTGTAGTATTTGCGCTTGACCTAGGACCAGCTGGGCCGGCTATCAGATTCCGAGCCAAGTTGGCATTGTCAAAAGACCAGTCCCAAGCTCGCAGCGCACTTGCCTCAAGTGCGCCATAGTGTAGACTCTCGATTGCAATAAACCCCCCAGTTGAATTCATATGGGGGGGTTTTCAATCAAGAGTCTACATTACATGGATTGCAGCGTTGGTGTCCCGGCTCCAAGTGGAGGGAAAAACCTACAAAGTGCCAGTGTCAGAGACCCTTTGTAGGTTTCTGCCTGGTATGTAGCTCCTTGATGTTCTTTGTTGCGGTTCATCTTGTTGAGATGCTCTGGGGCGTGAAGCCAGTACCCGAGAACAAACTCTTGTAGAGGGCTGGATATCTTAAACAGCTCTTCTAAAGGGTGTTCAGCCCTATTCAGCCCTGATCTTCAGTATACCGGCCCGGTATCACCCAGGCTTCGTGTCGTTCCGTTGATGCTTCTCGCATCCCCCGTCACATCCGCCGAAAACCGCACCACACGCCCAGGCACACCGATCTCACCTAGGTCCAGTTTTTGCGCGAGCAGAGCATGTTCTGCGTTTTATTTACATTTCGCGCGGGTCCCAACTGCAGTTGGATTGGCTACGTTTGGGCCCTCTGCTAAGCACCCGCGTGTTATGGTCAAACACCCTGCAAGGGACGATGGATATCTGACCTTTCTCCTAAGACCCTTCTTGGGGTTGCACATCACTTGTCCCCACCTACCATTACATGACATGACATGGATTAGATTACATTAACAGATTAGATAGAGATAGACCGACAGACGGACAGACCAGACCAACAAGAGAGACAGACACCAACAAACCCACATACCTATATATATACATATGTTGATATACAGAAGAGATTGACATATATACTGTGTATATATATATACATTATATAATGCACTGTATGTGTGTGTGTGTCCAACCCTGGACAAAGGGTTTCCACCACCACTCTTTCTACCCTACATGAGCAGGGGGACAGAGCTCTCTGATGCTACTCTGTCCAACGAAGCTAGGCATCAGAGAGGGAAGCATCCACTGGCCATGGATGTGTACCTGCTTTAACGGTTGAACAAGCTGTCCAATTGACCTTGTTTGTTTTCATGGTTCTTCATGATACCTCCCACAAACCCACCGCCGTTTTGCGCCACTTTGCAGCCGACTTTGAGTGTCAGATCGTTTTCGAGTGCAACTGCCAACAGTGTTCAACAATACTTTTCAGCGGACTTTGCCACCTTGCGGTTCCATCGCTTTCCTTCCCAACGTGGAATTGCATTAACTGAAAATCCAAGTTCGAAGTTCGAAGTGTGTGTCTGTCTGTTGGGGGTCTGTCTGTTTGGCCCCGCGCTCTTCGCATCGACCAGCCAGGGCGGGCCACTCTCGTAGCGCGCCACTTGCTCGGGCTGGCGCTCGGCCAGGGCGACGATGAGCCGCGCCAGCTTCACGCGGAAGTCCTGAGGAGTGTCGAGCCGAGCCGTGCCAGCTGCTTGCAGTGGAAAAGGAAAGATAAGCATCTGTAGACACACCTACACACACACACATAGACTAGAAGTTAGATGTAGATACGTGGAAAAAAAACTTGAAGTGGGTATATCTGCAGAGAACTCTGCTTCGCGGGATGCCTCCAAAGCGACAACAATCAAAGACAGGCGAGGCATCGAGATTGAAGCGGCCGCATCCCCCATTCAAAAACAATCGAAGGTCCAGTTCCCCTTGAAGCCCTGTCTTTTGTTTCGCAGTGGGCGAACTGAGCGAAGACTTGGAGGACTCGGAAGCCTTCCATTGTGTCAGAACGCCTCCAAATGCTTGGGATGCAGAGCGTGGTTTTTCGCGGTGGCCGTCTCACTGCAGAGCGCGGGGTCTTCAACGTAGAACCGAGGCTTTACGAGTCAGAATCATGGTGACCATGGAACATCTCACCACCTGTTTGGTATGACGAAAAGATGGTCATCCAAACTTCTGGGCCTGGCGGCCAGATTGCTAACTACAGGACAACATCTGACCCCCATGCCGAAGGAAAGGTGGAAGGGGCGGAAAAAAAAAAGGCAAAAAGTACAATCAATGTGTTAACTGTTAACTCATCAAGTGCTTAGGATTGGCCTCCTGCAGGCACCGTCACAAGTAATTCAAACATATTCAGCTGTATAACCCTTTGGAGGACATGCGATTCTTCCCGATCATGTTTGGGTTCCGTGTTTCTGGCACGCCTGAGTCCAGAATACTCCAGAAGTTGCACGCCCCCTCCAGACTAGAGGGACCCATCCTTGTCTCCACTGCCCGCCAGTGCAACTGCTGCCAGGTGGCCTGTGGGAGGTACATCACCTGACCAAAGTCAATCAGGCCCAGAGTTGTCCCATCCTCCAGCAGAAGGATGTTCCCAGGATGTGGGTCCGCATTGAAACACCCATCCTCCGCGCCAAGCGATGTGCGTGCGCGGATCGCGCGTCTCAGACCCTCGAAGAAAGGACTTCATGGACATGTTGGAACCTGTCCAACGTTTCGAACCAAATGACCACTTTTCAATGAGACCCAAAAAACACTCAGACCGCTGAGACAACCAACTGCATCTTGGTGTCGAGCAGGATCTGCTGCCCGTGGATCTGCATCAACATCTCAAAGATCCCCCCGACCTCAGCACGATACAGCACGCCATGGACATATGGGCAGTGAAAGGGGCGGGGCCAGCTGAAAGGATCCATATCCAAGGTATTTCGGCAAAGATTCTTGTAGCAAATTCCATTTGTTTTGGAGGCACCGACAGGGTTTCCCTCCTCGAAGCTTTGCCACCCATGATGCATTCAGATAAGGCGACGTCGAAAGAAGTCGAACCCTGGACGAGTCTGGCTCCAAGACACTGGGACCCTAGTCAACTAGTCCTGGACGAAGCCACCGTCCAATTTCACCAGGACCCGACTCGTTCGGGGTGTCTATTTATAGCCCCAAACAGCTGTGATTCGGGGTGTCCATTCACCACCCCGAATGGGGGTCCTGGCAATTGAATACCAGGCACTCTAACCCCCCTCCTCCGTTCTTCCACTTCCCATCCCTCCCAAACCAGAGCCCGGCGAGCGGCATCCAAAGGCTCCAAGTCCCGGCGGCCGAAGTGCCGGACGCGATGCATCCATCGGCCCAGGAGCGCTTTCCAGCGGAGCCACCAGGCCTCAGCTCTGGAGGCTCGTCCTCGTGCTGACGCTGCTGACGCTGCTGACGCTGCTGACGGTACGCGGGTGCTGACGAACCCCCAACTGGCTGGTGTAGATCTTCCTCCACGCAGTGTGTGTGTGTGTGACCCTTGGAGTCACAGGGATGCTGACGGAAATAACTAGACTTAGCTGTGTTTGTGTTTTGAGTTTTGAGATTGCGTCTTGTGAACTAGTAGTGTTGGCCTCAAACCTGGTGCGATGGCCTCCAACGCGCTAGAGATGACCTCCAACCTTGTTCTTTGGGTGTGTGTTTTGTAAACTCGTAGCGCGGGCCTCCAACCTGGTGCCCAACCCATTAGAGATGACCTCCAACCTCGTTGCTTGGTGTCGCCTTTTGCTTGTGCGTCTAACCTACTAGCGATGGCCTCCAGACTTGGGCGATGTCCTCCAACTTCCTAGCGATGGCCTCTAACTTACTTTTATCCTTCTGCCGATTTACTCAGGCAAAATCTGTTACCTAGGTCACCGTGTGGCAAACCGCAACTGCTTCAGTGCGCATTTCTTTAAGTGTGTGTTTTTCTCCAGGAGTGCTTGGAGATCTCGAAGGGCCTGCGTAGATCGCCAATTCCAAAACCTCCCCAACTTCTGTGACATGGTCACATGCCGGCGTTTGTGAAGGAATTGCCTTTGTGGTGACTTGCCTTGTGAACCCGCTACAAGCCTTGTGTATGGCAGGCCCTGCCACTGCCCACGCCATTCCTTGGAGACCAAGAAGGGGCGTTCATGGCATTCTAACTTCCAGTCTGGTCACACCCGGAAATTGAGGAGGGAGCCATCGCAAAGCACTGGCCTGAAAGGGTGAACCGTGACACCGGGCCTAGCCGTGACACACCAGGAGTTCCATGCAGTGTTGAGCTTTACTTCCATCCGGATAGCTGGATGATCACCTTGGCCCTTTTTGTCCGCACCCCCTCCAACAATCACAAGACACATTCCCGCAAACACACCCTGTTTGGTGGGGCCTCCTCAGCCTCCTCTGCCTCGTTAGATGGTTGACGACCAAGTTGCGGCCTCCGCCTTGCGTCGCCCACTCCTCAGGGCCTCTATCTGCTCCTGGACCCGCTTCGACAGACAACATGAAAATGCCAGGCTTGAGATCTGACAAGTCTGGTAAATGCCAAATTCCATATTAAGAAAATGAATCTACAGTAAGTCTTAAGTGGTTCTTACCAACTTGTAGGATCTCAATGCCAGGCTGAGTATGGCCTTCAAAAGGTTGCAATTTCACGATCACTCTGGTACACCGTCAGCCTCTTTCAGGAGTCCAAAAGAAGATCACGGCAGGGAAACGGAGAATCCGCCGGTTCTTACTGTCGACTCTTTGGATTATATATCAACCCAGTTATGGAATCCAAATGGAAGGGGCACTTCCATTCATCGAGGGTACACATGAGTCTCCTACCACCCTACTGATTGATAAAAAGAATCGCCACGCAGTCTCGCCGCCACCGGACCGGCCTGTTCATACTCCTCCACGGTCTTCCCCTCCCGCTCGGCCAACGGCTTCAAGCGCCGCCGCACCGCGGAGATGAACCTGTTTCCGCGCGCGCCGGGTCCCACGACGGGGGGGCCCGGTGGCGGCTTTGAGTGATGGGATTGGTTCTTCCAACCAGGGAGGGTACGAAGTGATCGAGAATGAGGACTGCTCCCATGGCTTTCCAAGTTGGTCACCGAGCTCGCTTTCGCCAGGTTCGACACAGACTCGGCGCAGTCTTGAAGAGAATGCAAGGGCTTACAACTAGTGGGTTGGATCAACAGCCACTGCCATTGCCCACACATCCTGCCAAACAAATCCAGCCAGCCACATACAGCAATCGCATTCACAAAGAAGTGCCTTTGACTCGGAAGGTGCTTTGAAAGGAAACTGGAATGACCCACTGGCACAAAAAAACACCCAGCTCATCTCAACTAACCCAAAGATCCTTCGTCTATCTTCGTTCTCCGGGCGCGGTCTATCTAAGCCTCCCCACTTCTCACCTTTTAGCAGCTCCATCCCCAAAACATGGCGCGAGCTCAGCTCCTTCATCGGCCTGGGCCAGACATGGACGACTCAGACCTGTTCCGACCCAGTCCAGACTCGTACGGCGTTTCATTCGCAAGCTTCGGCCGGTGGCACGCCAGTGGCACGCCTGGGGATGTAGATCCGGTGCCCCCACTTGGGCAGCAAATTGGTGCGCATGGCCTCCAAATTGCCTCAGTCCCGCAGCGATGGGCCGGGGTCGCTGCGGTACCCCTGAACGGTAGGCCGCGAAAAGCGTCCCCCGCCGAGGGAAAATGATGGAAAAACATAGGGCAGACCATTGCCAACCAAACAAGCCCACTGGCTGAGATTCGTGGCCAAAAACCGAGCAGGCCACTCGATCTTGCATCTTCCTTCCGCTCCGGAGGCCGTGCTTGGGATTGAAGGCGAACTGGCACTGACCCAAAAAAGGACCCGGATCAAACAAACTGCTGTCTTTTCAGAAGCTTAGTCTCTCCTTCGTCCGAATCGGCAGTCCAAACCGACGGTGGAACACCCGTGACGTGGAACCCACCTTCTGTTATTCTTCTTTTGTTCGACCGCTCTTTCCGCGCGAAGTCGGGCAAAATCGAGGGGCGAAACTCTTCCAAGTAGTCAAACTCCGCCTCAAACAGTTTCTCAATCTCTTTCATCTGCTCCTTGGGGCTGCCAACCCTTGCAACTGGCTGTCTTGTTCCAGCTACGGCCTCAAAAGTCCAAAGCTGCTCTGTGAAGGGCGATGCCTTACACAGGACCTGCTGCATGCACAGCAGGTCGAATAGAAGATGTAGACTGGTTCTTGCACCAGAGCCCTGTGAGGACGTGGCTGCACCCACCCGGGCCGCCCCACGAAGCCAGTTTGGGGCATTCCATCTCCAACGGGATGATTTCTTTCACCAGAACACTAATCTCTGAAAGGGCAGAGGTAGTTAGTCAGCTAGTGCCAAAAATCAAGCTAAAAACTTCGGAGCTCGTGCCTCGCGCATCTCGCGCGGCAAACTCTTCTCCAAGGTGCAAAGGCCCATGGAATGGCCAGATACGTAAACCTCAGCGCACGTTTGAAGGCCCATTGACTTGAGGACCACATCTTCCAGTCTGAGTAGGTGAGTAGGCCAACCAGTAGTAGGTAGCAGGGACATGGCAGGAAATCACCCAGTCCATCTCCGCAGGATCACCCAGTCCATCTCCACCAAGGTTGGGGCGGTGGTTTCCATGTCTGACAGATGGGGACAGGTGAGAAGGCGTTTTCGAAGAGCGGGGGGTTTAACATAGAGAAAAAGGATGTCTCAATTTAAAACATACATGGAGGCCAGCCCAAAACCCATCGATGGAACTTGATAGAAGAGCCAAAAATCTTCCCAACTCCCACGTTGTGTGGGGATGTCAGGGTGCGGTCGCTTCCGGATGCGACGCCAGACGCTCGCTTGAGCGACGCCTTACGCCTGACCGCTGCGGGCTCCGCTGCGGGCTGGGCTGCCGGGCATCTTCAGGCAGCTGATGTCGGCACCTCAGAGTGGTCCACGTGTGGCACTTCACATCGGGAGCTCTTCCGACCACTGTCCTTTTCTTCAAGGGAAGCCCCCCCAGGGCATCCGGCGAAACATCTTCTCTGCGTTGGGAACCTCAACAAAGGGCGAACACCGACAGACCTCGTGGACCCGTGGAGCTACCGACCGACCTCGTGGGAGAGGCGAGGGCGGAGCCGGCGGAGCTGTTACGCCAGGGTGGCTTGAAAGGCTTTTCACGCCAGTCTCGTGGGGACCCTCCCAACTAGGCTCATCTGTTCTAACCGACCTGGTCGCTTCGAATGGGAGTCAGATCCCGGCCTGGACCTTGATCGCCACGTCTTCTCCGGTGGACCTCAACCGTGCCTGGAAGAGATCTGCCCAGAAGCTCCGTGAAAACAGACTGGGTCCCTGTGGAGTGTCCAGACCCCACTATATGAGGGTCCCTGAGTCTGGGTGAAGAGAATCAAATTGTCGTGTTCCCTGACCCTTCCTTTCCTTTAGTCAGTCATTTCAGTCGAGGCCATTGGCTCCCTGCTCCCCCAAGACTTATCGGAGTGCTCTTGGGTTCAAAAAGATTAAATGGCCGTAGCCTGGAGCACCCCTATGTTGATGCCATCAGCGAAGACATCCAGCGCCGGTTGCATCCCACATCACTTGCCAAGCAATAGCAAGAAACAACACCAACAGCAATCCCCTACCTCATCTGCGTGGCTTTCGGCTTACAAAAAAGACCTGATATGATATGCAAGGCTTACGCTTCCGCTGCCTGGACCAGACCCCCCCCCACATCTTCTCGGCGTTTTGGTCCGGCCAACGTGGCAAGCTGCCTGATAGACTTGACCAATCGAAGCCGTACCAATGGGCTCCTCCACCCAGTCGGTCAACAAGGCATCCAAATCCTCCAACTTCAGCTCCTCAGGGTCGCGGGATCCGTGGGACGAGCGGCCCAAGGGCTTGTCTGGTGTGGCTGTGTTGGAGGTGAGTCCTTCAAGTCCAAACTGGGTGCATACCAGAGGATACATCTGGCAATCTTCTTCAGCTTTCTCAGGCGGTTGAGGAGGGCGACTCCCTCACTTCTCCTTTGCAATCACCTTCCGCGCTTCGTCTGAGGACAAGGTCATGGGAACCTGCCAGCAGAGCGTTCCGCGAACCTTGTTGAGTTGGTTGGTCAATTCTCCCCGCAGCGATCAGGCACGTGTCTTTCACCCACGATCTTCCAACTCTCGTGAAACGACCAGGCACGGGTGGTTTCAAGTTCGTCCGCCCACCACTGTGCAGCGGCTTGCACGCGCATCGAGACACGTCTCACGGCATGAAACGAACGGAAGTTCCCACCTCGTCTTGCAGTTTGCGGCACCATTCCAAATACACTTCCGGCCTCGTGCCCGGCTCGCGCAGGCCGGGGGTGAGGGAAGAATCCAACCAGCTTTCAGCCGGCGGAGAAAGCGCCGGGCTGTAACCCAGCCAAGCGGCAGGAAGTCATCTCGAGTAGAAACTAGCTGTGCAGCTTTGAGGTAGAAGCCTCTCATGTACCTGAAGGATCCAGACCGAAACACACCTCCAGATCCAGACGTCCCTGTTTCGCTAGACGTCCAGCTCGACAAGAGTTGGCACCGAGCTAACGGAGATTCCTAGACTTGTGTCACCTATATAGTCAGACCAGTCTTGTTCAAAGTCCTGGACTCCCAGGTTCAGAGTCCTGGAATGCCCAAAAGTGTCAAGGACAGGCGTCACGCGTCGTCTGGAAACAACGCGGCACCACGTGGCACGTGGCACGTGGCCCCCCGTCGCACCGCTCCCACGGGCACAACGTGGCTCCACGAATAATGGGAGAATATCCTCAGACCGATCGCCGCGCAAAAGGCCCCACCCCCGGGCCGAAGCGGCAACTCTCTTGCCCGCTGCGAGAGTCGCTGGGATAACAAAAGCCTCGTCATCTTCGACTCCACCAGTCTTCGACTTTTCATTCAAGGCACGGACATGCAGTTTGCCTTGGAGAACGACGGAGAGGAACACTGGCTTTGAAAGACCCGCTTCAAGAAGGAACATTCACAAACTGACTCGGCCTGAGATTAGCCCTTTCATGGTCCTTCTCTGACTGATCAAGACTCGCAAATACTCCAAGAAGCTGAACTCTGCATCTCTAGCTTCCAGCCCCTGTGCACCATCCTTGCGGTGACTCACCTCTACACAGGCGGCCGGTGGTCAGGTAGAGTCATACTGTAATACTCCTTTCTTCACTTCTTTCAGAGTGATCGACATCTTGTCTCATCAACGCGCCCTCTGTCACAAATGCAGACACCAACAAAACATGAGTTGGTGGCAGCACCTTGTCGACCCACAAATAGTGACACCTCAGGGAGCTAGAGAAATCCTCAGGCCGCACTGAGGTGGTGGTGTGCAAAAAAAACAGGGAAAAGGGAAAAGGCAATGTTTGCAGGGTGTAAGGCGGAGCATTTCGTATGCTTGCGGGAAGAAGTGGCCCAAACGGTGGAAATGAGTCGTTTGGTTGACTTTCATGCATATTAGTGATGCGAAGGAATGCAAGTGCATCATGGCTGGATGGCGCGGAAAACGGGAATGAATTGCCTCCAAGGAGTATGATTAGTGCCAAATCGATAGAATAGACCAATGGCTGCAGGCTGCAGGATGAATATAGCATTGTTGAATATAAGTGTTGGGGTTCCCAAATGGTCGCGCCATCGGTGCGGAACGAACTGAATCATCGACGGGGTGTTGGAGTGGACAATGGGATCCTATGTGATTGTTGATTTCCTCCGTGCTCTCTCCAAACCACTGGTGCAGGTTTGTGGCGAAGCGACTTGAATACATCGCGTAAAAACATACGTTCCCACTCACTAACACTCACTAACAGCCTGTTGGTAGAGCAAAACGGGTGCCTGTTTTCCACTTCCATGTTAGTCAGAGTATCGTCTCCGAGTCTTCGAAGTCCGGTGTTCTAACGCCATGCCGTCACATCTTGATAGCAGTCAACTAGCCGTTACGAGCATGGGTCTTGACACCTGGAGCTCTGGTCCACCCGGTGGCTGGACCTTCCAGGTTGGTGAACCAAGGCTCCATTTCCCCCCGAAAGCCTTGTTCGCAGCGAATCATGGTGATTTCAAGTCTCAACGAATCATGTCCTGCAACAGCTCGAGCGGACTTCGATCCCAGCCAAGAAGCCACAGCGGGAACACCACCGCCTCAGGGAAACACGTGCAGACTCTCAGAAGCCAACTCCCGTGTTCGCTCCCAACGTCGGGGAATAGGGATAGCCCCAGCGACCCTCAGTTGCTCCCTCCTGCGCAAAGGCTAGCCAAGTCCAAGATCTTCTTGAGGCGAGGGGCCCAGAATTGAAGACACCGGCGGAAGCCTTCGTCGATGCACCCGGCAGCCAAGAGGCCAAGGACCCACAAGTACCGCCGGCCTCAGCGAGGGCCCAGTGAAGTAGAAGGTACTAGAAGTTCCTCAGGTACCCCCAAAATACACGATGCATTGAACAAAGGTCTTGGACAAACTGCTGCAGCCATGGTAAACTATGGGCCGCGACTTAATTTTGGATTTCTTTTTGAAATGTTTTTTGTTTTTCGTGTTTCGTGGGGTGCAGGACTTTGTGGACCTTGCCATGCACATTTCGTGGCAGGTGCAGGACTTTGTGGATGTTGAAGGGCAGAGGAGTGGCAGGTGGAGGACTTTGTGGATGTTGAAGTGCAGAGTTGGTGGCAGGTGCAGGACTTTGTGGGCCTTGGAGTGCAGATTTCGTGGCAGGCGCAAGACTTTGTGGACCTTGAAGTGCAGATTTCGTGGCAGGTGTAGTACTTTGTGGATGTTGAACTGCAGATAGACAGATAGAAAGATAGAAATACAAATGGATCGATAGATAGATAGATAGATAGGTAGGTAGATAGATAGAGAGAGGAGGCATATTTGCTTGGTTAGAAAGTTTTGCACCGGGGAGTTCACCTTAAAATATTGATTTCGTGGCAGGCGCGGGTGTCGGGGATGAATTGCAGATTTCGTGGCGCGGGGGGGGTTTGGGGGGGCCCCCCAGCAGCACACCAGATCCAAAGGTGAGCAGCTCTCTGCAACGCAAAAAACAGGAAAAGCAAATGCACAAAGAGAAAGGAGAACAGCTGCCAAAAGAAAGAAGGAAAGAAAGAAAGATAGATTTATTAGATAGATAGATAGATAGATATAGACAAAAGCCACAAAAGCCACAGAAGGCACGAAAGCCGCCAGCCAAATACAGAAGCCACAAAAACCACAGAAGCCACGAAAGCCAAAAGCCACAGAAGCCACGAAGGCCACGAAAGCCAAAAACCACAGAAGCCACAGAAGCCACGAAAGTCAAAAGCCACAAAAGCCAGAGGCCACAGAAGCCAGAAGCCAGAAGCCACGAAAAACAAAAAACACAAAAACAGAAAAAATGGCCCCCCGTAAACTATTAGGTCCAGGCATCGTCTGTCCTGTCACTTTGGTGAGTGTGTTCCTTCAACCGACCAATCCAAAAAAATTAGAACCAAATCCAATGTTTGACCCTCAAGGCCATCCCCACACACTTATGGATACGCGTACGGACTTGACACTGGTAGCTTCGTTGGACACAGTCCCAGTGAAATGCTGTGTCCCCCTGCGGGAAAAGAAGAAAATTCAGCAAACAATTTAACTGGATCCCTGTGATTGCAAGGGGCACACACGCACACGCCTCCCCGAGGGGAAGCAAAAAAAATAAGGCTAGGACGAATGTGGAAATGCGCGCGCAGGAAAGACAAAAAGGATGAAGACATGAGACGGGACAAAAGTGTGCGTGGTTGCGATGAAAGAGAAACCAAGTGCACAGGGACAACCGATGAGCCTCACCTCATTGTCGAAAGGATGAGACGACGAAACATGAAGACAGGAGGACATGAAAGAAAAGAGGAAACAGAAGTGTGTGAAGGGGAAAGGATGAAAGGGGAACCAAATGGAGGGCACGAGAACCGATGAAACTAGAAGCGCCTAGGGAGCTCGCTCGTTTGATTGTATGCGCTGCGTGTGCACCTGAGAGTGGGACAGGTTCCAACGAACCTCAAAAGATGCTTTGGTCGCTCTGGCCACGTTGAGGCGTTAAGCCAGCTTGGACCGCTGCGGTCACGTAAAGGCATGAGCCATCTTGCAATTCAATAATCCGACAAGTCTTGGCAAAAAACTTTGGCATAAGCCTACTCCGCCCGCTGTGGGCACGTACGTTTCCAAAGCAAGGGAAACAAAGACAAACCCCCGTTTGACGGGTCCATGGGAGGCACTCTGCGGGCTCATCCCGGGCTGGCCGAGGCCAGACACACTTATGGATATGCATACGGAACTGACAGCGGTGCCACACGCCGGCCTAGGGTACCATTTCCTAAGAGTACAAGGGGCCTCGGGGGTCTTCAAACGGAGAAGGGGCCAAAGGCTCAAGTCGGAAACGAACCGACAGATGATGGCGTAACGTGCATGACTGCCGCAAATTTTAAAAGTTGTTGCAGGTACGCCCAGCTGGCCAAGCTGGATATCCCATTTCACTGGTAGCTTCGTTGGACACAGTCTCAGTGAAATGCTGTGTCCCCCTGCTCAAAATAGAGCGGAGTTCAAAGTACAATCCAAACGGATCCCTGTGACTACAAGGGGCACGCACACACACACACACACACACTTAGATCATTGCTCGCAAGAGCTGTATCAGTCTTGAACGCCAGTGCATTAGCCCTTTAGATGAATACTCAGCGCTTATATAGCTTGAGGGAACGGCAAGAAGTGCAGGGTCAGTCAAACAGAAGGTTTCAACAGCTCGCATTTGCACTTTAGATTATTGCAGGCACGTGCAGCTGATCAGGCTGCATATTCTAAGGTCACCATAGAGAGCTTCGTTGGGCACAGCTCTACGGCAATGGGCCTTCTGTGCCCCCTTGCTGTCTGTACAACGTCGAGTGGGAACGCATTAGACCTTTACGATGCATTAGCACGCTGTTGTCATTTCCTTGGAAACAGGAATTGACACACAAAAAGCCAAATCGGCGCTCCCTCTTTTTCTCCGCGGGGAGGGGGGGGGGGGGGGGTGTGCATTGACTAAACGCTAACAAGCCTCTGAAGGAAAGACCAAACAAACGAAAAAGGCAAGGAAAGAAAGGGTGCAGGGGTGTGGGGGGGGTTGGTTAAGGGCACTGGCCAAGAAGCCAAACCGGCGCTCGCTTGACTAAAAAAGGCCTGTGTTACACCTGAAAAGCCTTTAGCAACGAAGAAAGACCTAGAAAACGAAGAGAAACTGAAAAAAGAAAAGCAAGACAGCAATGAATACTTAGCAGTATGACATGAGTCTGTACAAACGATTGCTTAGACGCGTGAAAGGCATGTCATTCTTTGAACGGCACCCAGTGGGCTCCATGCAGCATGGTATCAGCAATCTCGAGCAGAAACGACCATCCAGTGGTAAGCGTGCAAGAAAAAAACCTCACCCTTAAGGGCCTGACGAGGATGAGGAATACTTAGCGCTTGACTTGAGGGAACGGCAAGAAGTGCAGGGTCGGTCAAACAGAAGGTTTCAACAGCTCGCATTTGCACTTTAGACTGGATCAAAAATTCTTGCAGGTACGTGCAGCTGATCAGGCTGCATATCCTAAGGTCACCATAGAGCTTCGTTGGGCACAGCTCTATGGCAATGGGCCTACTGTGCCCCCTCGCTGTCTGTACAATGTCGAGTGCGAATGCATTAGACCTTTACGATTCATTAGCATGCTGTTGTCATGTCCTTGAAAACAGGAATTGGCACAAACAAACAAACAAACAAA